CCCCCCCCCCTTATGGAGTAATAATTATTCATTAGTAGATCTAGTTAGTCTTTATGTAATAAAGTAGGATGTGACCTGCAAATCAAATAATTTATATTACAGCTTGTCCTTGAGGTCCTATATTACAGCATTTTTTTTTCTTAGATACAACTCAAGTATAACAGAGGATACTACTATTTTTAATTAGAATTTGACAAATGTATTAAATATTAATTCTTCAGGAAAGAAGGTCAAACCTCAAAGCAACACCTGGAGGTTTTGAAGGGGTTCCTTTTAAAAAGCCTCTGCAGAAGATTTTAAAATTACCTGTTTTGTAGGATATCTAACTCCCACACAAATACATCTTAGATCAAGAGTTTAATGTTAACAACAATAAATAAACAACCCACAAACAAGAGAAGTCTATTTCACCAACAGCGTAACTGGTTTGATATTAAGAGCTACTCCAAAAAAACCAAATAATAGTCCCCACTTAACTGGAAACAGATACAAAACATGTCACTGCAACTCAGGTGCTGTATTATAAAAAAAAAAATCTTTTTTCATTCTACATGTGTGCACACATACCTGCACCCACACAAGCTTCAGAGACCGATTTAGATCCACTAAGTCTTCTTCATGAAAAACCAAAAATTTTCCAGCAGAATCAGTTATCACATAATTTTCTCTTTCAAAAGCAGTCAATGCAACAAAACCAATGTATTTAGAACTCAGCAATCAACACCAAACCAATCATGCACAAACTTACAAGACGGATTGTTTTTGGCTTAGGAAACATCCATGCTTTTGCAGTTTATCATGAACTGATCTACTAGAACAGCCCAGATACAGAACAGCACAGATTATCACAAAAAAAAAAACAAACCCAAACACCCAACCTAAAACACCACAAAAAAAAAACCCCAAACACCCAACCTAAAACACCACCAAAAAAACCCCCAAAACCAAGCCACCAACAAAAAACCACACACACCACAGAGCAAGCGAGAGTGCAAAGGAGGAGAAATCAACTCTCTTCTATGCCATTTCTCCTTTTTTCATTCTTTCTCTCTGCCTTAAGCAGTCTCCTGTTCTGACAGGAGTATGTCATGCTTTTTTTCATTTTTTTTTTTCTAGCACAGAAAGGCTGTTATTCTGCAAATGCCCTAAGCTGATAGAATTTTCCCTTCAGCTCATTTTCATATGAAATACCATAAATAATACATGGTACTTCAATAAGACCTTATCAGAATGTTTAATGAAAAACAAATACGTTATGTAAGGAGGCAAATAACAAACTCGTTCCATGTAATGTCAAAATCAAAGGCAGCATGCTTCCTAGCCAAACAGTTTGGAACTATCTAAGTCTATGCAATTTCCCAAAGTGAGGTTCTGGAACACAGTGATGGTCAAGCAAAGTTTCTTCTGTCTATTGCACTATTTTACAGCTAAAAGGACATCCATAAAAGAGATTAAACTCTTAAAAGCTGCATGCTGAACAATTACTTCAAGAGAATTTAGTAGTGTAAGTGTAGCTAATATTAATTGCAAAAGTAAATTTCTCATTGGTCTTTTATCCTTAGTTTTCACACATTTCAAAGTAAAAAAAATATAACCCACAAATACCATGAATACCTTGCATTTGTATATTCATGTTCTTCAAACAAGAACATCAATGTTTTATCTATCCAAATCATCTATATACAGAGAAACAACAGATAAACATATATAATGAAATAGCATAAGAGGCCTGAAAAAGAAGCAGAATTCTTTAGCCTGATATATGCTACTTCAAGAGATGCAGGGGAAAGTCATTACCAATTTTCATCCCTTCCAAGAAAAACTTGTCACTATGTCTAAAAAGAAAAAGCGTAACAAAATGTGGTTTGTTTTTATAAAAATAAAATCAATGTCTCCTCTTTAAAGCCATTTCCTTGTTTATACACACTCTTCTACCAAACCCAACCCATCAATCGCAAGTTATGGCTATATATACAGTAAGTACCACCACAAATTTGCCCAAGGTACATGAACGACTGTACACAATCTGACCTTTTATCCTCATGCACAGTGACAATACCACTAAACTACTATGCAATTTCACAGAACAGCATATGCCCCATCAATATCTCATCTGCCAATTATTAACAACTTGATTTTCCCCTTATTCTACAAAACCCCATATATGCAATTGCAAAGCCTGTTTTACCTACAGGATATGACATCTTCCAGTTACCTCAGTGCTGCTCTGTTGGGTCAGTAACTGAACTCAGTTATCCCACACTCAGTTGCTGATATTATCACTTGGATATCAATTAACAACAACAACTACAGACCTTTCTCAAAACACAAGGAGGCTACCAATCTACACAACCTAAATCAGCCTTTGCAGGAGTTCAATTAGAAATGTAGAAATAAAAAGTTCTCCCACAGCACCATTTAAAAGATGCTAACAGTGAAGTGTTGATCAATCTTGAATATGCAAATAAAACCACTAAATCAAAGAATCTCTGAAACAAAGCAAAAAGAACCAACAGCGTTTGTCACACAGCTGACATTCTAATACAAAAACACCCTTTCGTTTACAATGCATTTGTTAATTTAGTATAACATGTTCAATTTAAAATCATCTGCTCAATTTATTATGATCTGGTAGTCAATTTCTGCTTCTCAAAATCAAAGTTCAAATTTCACATTTACAAACAATCATCCTAAAAGTTAAACTTCAGAGTTATCACAGCAGAGTGCCCAATCAGTCAAACCTTTTAGATCAAGGAAAAAGAGATTTGAAAGAGATCACCTGCAAGACCCCATACCATTTTATACTTCAAACTTGTCTCAGTAGTATGCTACACTAACAAGTTTACACATACAGAAGGCATACAGTATTATAAAGCTTGTCTGCCCCCAGATGTGAAGAATTAAGAAAAAAACCCACAAAAATCACATCTGCGTATTACATTATCCATGTGAAGAATGGATACTTCTCCACTTTAAAATGGTTGATGTGGTATAAAAATAATGTAGGCAAGTGGTAGAGAAGCTAATAGTGCAGTCCTTTCTCTAAACAATCCTTTTCTAACACCACATGAAAAAATAGCTCCCAGGACTTCAAACCAGGAAAAGCAGCATATTATGAGTTTAAAAATAGAATGCTTCATTAACATATTTTGACAAATTACTAGCAATCATTAATATTTTTGCCTTTATTCTACATAGTTTTCTATTTTCTTATGTACGTGTTATGATTTTTTTTTTTAATAAACTAAGGAAATATCACTGGTGTTTTAAAATAATTTGTTTTGTCAAAAAAAGACTAAACAAAAGGGCTTCCCTCTATTCTTTTCCATTAACGGGTGACATCTCATCCTTCCAGTGATATTTTCTTGTCATGAAATTCTCTATTTCTAATTTAAGGTTTCTGTTAAGATTGCTCTTCTTACTAGGTCTTTGCACAAAGATCAAGACATTACAGAGGCTCATGCTTACCTCAGGCAAATAAGAATCACTAATTTTCTGTTTCTATTAAGCACTGTGTTATGTCCATTGACTTCTCCAGTATTTCATATGCAATGTCTATAAAGACTCTGTAGTACAGTTAACCTCTTCAGCACCACTTAATAAATATTTCATAAGCATTCAACATTAACTATCTAAATTTTTCACAACATGAGAAACCAAGAGCCCGTTTTCCCACCAACAGGTTTGGGGTGGGGAAGGTCATAAAATAAATGAATAATAATTAAAAAAAAAAAGTTCAGCCCT